TATTTCTAGTTTTCCAGATCATTTCTTTATATTTTTTTAGTAGAGACGGGGTCTCACTCTTGCTCAGGCTGGTTTCAAACCCCTGAGCTCAAACAATCCACCCGCCTCAGCCTCCCAGAGTGCTAGGATTACAGGCGTGAGCCACCGCGCCCGGCCAAGCTTCTTTCATGTAGCATAATGGTTTTTTTTTTTTTTTTGCGATTCATCTTCTTGTTTCCATAGCTTGTTCCTTTTTATTGCTGAATAATATTCCATTGAATGAATATACAGCAGATTGTGTGTTCTCGTGTTGATGAACATTTGGATTGTTTCCAGTTTTTAGTTATTATGAGTAATGCTGCTATGAACATTAGTGTAAAAATCTTTGTGTGGACATATGCTTTTGTATATCTTGGATAAATACCTAGAAATGGAATTGTTGGCTCATAGGGCATATGTTTAAATGTATAAGAAACTGTCATACTGTTTTCTAGAGTGGGTAATGATGTGGAGTAATTTTTCATTTTCATATTGGCCATTTGTATATCTTCTTTGGTGAAGTATCTGTTAAAATCTTTTGCCCATGTTTAATTAAGTTGTCTTTTTATTATTGACTTGTAAATGTTCTTTACATATTCTGGATACAAGTCATTTATCAGATATATGCTTTGAAAATGATTTCTGTGTGGCTTGCCCATTCATTTTCTCAATGGTGTCTTTCGATGAACAGATACTTTTAATTTTCATGAGGTCTAATTTATAATTTTATTTTCTTTTATGAATAACCATCTATGACTTGTCTAGAATACCTTTGTCTACCATCAAGTCATTAAGATATTCTCCTATGCTTTCCTTTAAAACTTTATGGTTTTAGCCTTTAAGTTTGGGACTATCATCCTAATTAATTGAATTACTATTTGTGGATAGTATGAGGTCGGAGTTGAGAATCATTTAGTTTCATATGGATATCCAGTTTTCCAGCACCATTTATTGATAAGACTTTCCCTTCTTCATTGGCTTGCTTTGGTACCTTTGACAAAACATCAAATAGTTGTGTAGGTGTAGGTCTATTTCTGGGCTTTCTATTCTTTTCCGTTTATTTTTTTGTAGACTCTTACATCATTACCACACTGCCTTGGTTCCTGAAGCGTTGAAGTCATATAGTGTGAATCCTTCAACATTGTTTTTCAAGATGCCTTTTGCTATTCTAAGACTTTTGCATGTCTGTATACATTTTGGAATCTGCTTATCAATTTGTACAAAAAACTTGTTGAGATTATGATTGGGATTGAGTTGAAGCTATTGATCAATTTTCGGAGAATTTACTTCTTAGCAATATTGAGTCTTCTAATTTAGTAACATTTATTTAGGTTTATTTAAATTTCTTTCAGCAGTGTTTTGTTGTTTAAGTGGAGAGGTATTATATGTCTTTTGATAAATTTATTCCTAAATATTTTATGTTTTTCGATGCTGTTGCAAATGGAATAGTTTAATTCGATTTTCCAATTATTTGCTGCTAGTATGTAAAGAATACAATTGATTATATAAA